TTCAAATGGAAAGTGCTGTTATTGTAATATGTCCTCCCACAGTCCTCTTTCTTATCCCCCTTGTAATAACCTTGGAAGTCAGGGCATTTGGGGAGGGCTGGCTTGTGACCAGCAGGAGGGGTGGAACAACCCCTGACCTCCAATCAAGGTGTAAGAAAGTAATCTCCACCAATGGACAGCAGAGAAAGAGTTGACTGAAAAAACATTGGGAGGGGCTAAGGGTATAGAAAGCAAAGCATCCCTTTTGTAGATGAGCATGTGGCTGCTAATCATGGAGACTCCCAGTGCTGCAATCTTTCCTTATTCAGTCCTTTGTTAAGGTTTAATAAACATTTAAAAAGTTAAAAGAAGGGTTGTTTCTCAGATAGGCAATGCTTTGGGCCATTTTCTTGGTGTGATTTCCTTTGCTTGGGTCCCATTTGAGTGCTCAGTTGGGGTACAGGCTGTAGGTGCTTGGGGCACTCTTGGAGTTCCTCTTGGATCCCTTGAACAACAGGCTTTGGCCCACAAGGGGAATTTGTGCTACTTTGTGACAGAGGAGAACTTCCCAGGCTCTTTTGTGTTTGCTGTAGGGAAGGTTGGTTAGTGCTTGGCAAAAACTCACAGAGCAACATGGAGCGTTTGCTTTGTGATGTCAGGGCATGGTTGCCACATTGTCGGGGTGACATCAGAAGGGTGCCTTGGTGCACGGAAGGCCTGAGTGTCAGAGCAGCCCTAGCGCTTGCTCAGTTCAGGAGAATCCTCCTGGGCAAGGCTTTTGTTAGTGGCCTATTGCACACTGACAGGAGCCTCGTTTTTTCTACCAGGTGCGCGCAGCCTGCAGACTTGCAGGCCACTATCACAATGATTGAGCGACTGGCACCTGTCCTTTTCGCCGCATATGGCGTCACTTATGGTGCCTATTTCCTCACACACTTTGCACGTAAGTAGATGTTTCCTCTTCTGCTTATGTTAGGGTGTAACCTAACCTGGCTTTTGTATGTCTTCCTGCTCTTTCTTAGTGACTGAGTTTCTGATTTTGAAACAGAAAGAGCATTAGGATGCCACTGCTTTGGTCAAGCTCCTGTCAAGGTGTTCAGCTAAAAAGGGGGTGTCTGTAGCCACAGGGGCAGCATTTGCAAGGCAACCTGCAGGACTTCTGTTCCCTCCGCAGGAGAGTCTGTGGCAGCAGAGTCTGTCATTTCCTCAGTTTGCTGGGACAAGCAAAACACCTTTGAAAATGTAGACTGGCAGACCTTCTTGAAGGCCTTCTAAAAACTCTGCAGTTGTTCCCAGAATTCAGGGAAAGCTTCTTTCTTTCTCAATTTTGTCATGAAGGGATTTGACTGTCTAACTTGATCCTTTAGTGAGTGCTAAAATAGAGATTCCCTTTGCAATGAAATGCAAACTCCAAAGCACTGAGTGTCTGCTCCAGAACCCTGGAGTTACTGTTGTGCTGTTTCACAACAGAACTGCTGCAGCTCAGGGGGATTTTGGGGAAGCTTTTCTGGGGAACAGTTTCCAGCAAGTTAACGAGAATTGGTGCATGCAACTGACTTAAAAAAAAAAAAGGACCCGAGGGAGAGATGAAAAAAGCTGCTTTATGTATTTGGTAGAAGAGGAACAGCAAGTGTTCAAGAACAATTTGAATTTTCTTCATCATGTTTGTAGTCATTTACTGACAAAACAGGCACAAGTGTAGGCACAAGCAAGAATACTGTCCTGATCTCTTGCTGGCTGTGTGAATGAAACATGTCTCCTGGAGGGATGTTGTGAAATGGGAAATCATCTGTGTTTGGGTTGACTTGTTCTGTGGGTTTCACAAGCCCAAGCAGTTTTCTCAAAGCATGTGGTTCATTTTCCATTGCCCACTACAGGTCACCTGAAGCGTGTATTCAGTGGAGTTGATCCTGAGGTGAGTGAGATTTTGTTCCTGGTGTTGAGAAATTATGGACTCAGCTGTCAGCTTGACCTGTAGCAGTAGAGTGTAGAGGGAGGCCAAAAGAAAATCCATATTCATGCCTTCAACAAAAATAACATGGGCCTAATGTGGATAGTTCCTACTTTCCATCTCAGAGCCCTGAAGAAATATAAACTCAGTTTGACAGAATGTCACTTCCAGACAGCACCTAGAGGGGAATACTGACCTAAGAGCAATTTCCTACAGCGTAGAATTAGCCGATTTCAAATTAGTCAGCGTGACTGAGAATTCCACTCTGAGAAATTTAATGCTATATCCTTAGAAGATGCAGCTGTAGAAAAAGAAGGACATCTTGTAATGGTGCCTGGTGTATTTGAAGTAATTTAGGAAATTTTGTGGCTGGGGAGCTGCATGGGCCAAAAGGCGCCAGGGTTGCTGCTGGCCTTGAACCACTGAAGATGAGGCAGCGTGTGGCCAGGTGGCCAAGAAGGCCCAGGGCATGGTGGCCTGTGTCAGCAGCAGTGGGGCAGCAGGAGCAGGGCAGTGAGCGTGGCCCTGTGCTAGGCAGCGCTGCGGCCCCAGCTGCAGTGCTGGGTGCACTTGTGGGCCCCTGGGCAGCAGAAAGTCCTTGAGGGGCTGCAGCATGTGCACAGAAGGACAGGGGAGCTGGGCAACGGGGTGCAGCACAAGGCCAGTGAGGAGGTGTTGAGGGAGATTTAGCCTGCACAATGGGAGGCTCTTGAGGGACCTTCAGGCAAACTTCCATCATTCCCTGCATGACAGTGCTCAGCACAAGGGCTGGTTCACACCAAAAATTCATCACTCATTGCATCCAAGGGCTTTAGACACTGGAGTGGGTGACACTTCCATCTTGTGGTTTGTTGGCTCGTTGTTTTGCTCGCACGAGAAGGCCTGTTCATTTTCCTCTTTTTCCAGTAAGCAATGATGCTTCTGTACAATGTTCCCTGCTCTTTTGCAGCCCTGGATGGGATTGTGGTCCAGTTTGAGTTTTCTACGTCTGCAGCAGCAGTAGCAAAGGCGTTGCTGTCACTTTCCTAGTTTTCCATTTCAGTGCTTTCAAGCTCTAAAAGCTGCATTTGTCTGAGGTAACCTTGGCTTGCTGATGGCTTGCGGATGGCAGCCATGGAGGAAAATCAACTTCATATCCATCTAGAGTGGTGTTGAATTGTCCCATGATAATTTGGTGGCTGGGATTTAGAACCCCTCTGTCACTCTGAAATGTTATGATTTTTTCCTTAGAAGATGTTGTGGTAGATCTGAAAAGAAATGAGGTTCTACATGATAGGAAATGGCCTGTGCCTCATGCTCCTCTCTTGCCACAGATGACAGAAGCAAGAGCCGCCTCTCCCCTGGCCCCCGCTGCTCCTGGAGAAGAAGCCAAAGAGGAGCAAACTGAGGTGGATGAGCGCCAGCCTCCATCAGTGGTCAGACCACCATATTCTCAACGTGTAAGTGCCAGTTGTGTGTGGTGCTGTCTTTAGTGCAAGGCAGAGCTGCAAGGTTTGGAGCAGCCAGCACTTTGCTGTTGCTGGCTGAGGATGCTGGGTGCTGGAGTCCTGCCAGGAGCTGGGGATTTCCTCCAGGCAGAGACCGCAGAACTTGGCCTTTGAGCTGTCATGTTGAGGCAGCAAAGGGCTGGTGCCTCTGGGAGAGCATCTGGCTGCTTGGCTCAGGGAAGCTCTATCGCTTGGCTTCTGCCGTGCTATGGCCAAGGGCAAAGGAGGGAGTGCTGGAGGTGCCAGGCCTTGGTTTGGTTGTTTTCCCTCTCTGGAAAGGCGTGTTTGGCTTGTGAAAGCGGTCGGCACTTTCCATGAGTAGTTCTTCACTTGTACAGTCTCTTTTGGGCCAGCTGTCTTTTGGCTTTTGATAAGCTGCAAGGCGAGGATTGTGTGGTCCATGCAGCTGTGGGGGCCCATTCTTGTCCCGCGTGGCCAAAGAAACAAAGTGCAGAGTCGCGAAGCTTTCTTGCGAGGCCAAAAGCAGAAGCGGCCAGTTTCTGTTGATGCATAGTTTGGTGCAGTCTGCAGCTTTGGCAAGTGCCTCTGAGCCTGCAGTGGGGGTGAAGCTGCAAGTCCTTGACTGCTGTCTTGTGTTGCTCAGAACAGGAAGGCCATCGTACAATGGTGCCTGCTGTATCTGAAGTGAAATGGGCACCTTTGTGGCTGGGGAGCTGCGTGGGCCAAAAGGAGCCAGGGTTGCTGCTGGCCTTGAGCCGCTGAGGATGAGGCAGCGTGTGGCCAGGTGGCCAAGAAGGCCCAGGGCATGGTGGCCTGTGTCAGCAGCAGTGGGGCAGCAGGAGCAGGGCAGCGAGCGTGGCCCTGTGCTGGGCAGCGCTGCGGCCACAGCTGCAGTGCTGGGTGCACTTGTGGGCCCCTGGGCAGCAGAAAGACCTTGAGGGGCTGCAGCGTGTGCACAGAAGGACAGGGGAGCTGGGCAAGGCGTTGCAGCACAAGGCCAGTGAGGAGGTGTTGAGGGAGATTTAGCCTGCACAATGGGAGGCTCTTGAGGGACCTTCAGGCAAACTTCCATCATTCCCTGCATGACAGTGCTCAGCACAAGGGCTGTTTCCCTGCCAAACATGCCATCACTGCATCCAAGGGCTTTAGACACTGGAGTCGCTGACACTTCCCAACTTGTGGCTTGTGGGTTTCCTAGGAGGTGAAGGCCTGTTCATTTTCTCTTTTTCCAGCAAGCAAGGATGCTTCTGTGCAAACTTTCCTGTGCTTATAGGCACTGGGAGGGATTCTGAACCCTTTCTGGTTTTCCTTGTCTACTGCAGCAGTAGCAAAGGCCTTGCTGGCTCTTTCCTACTTTTCCATTTCCGAGCTTTCAAGAACCAAAAGCTGCCTTTTGCAGAGACAACCTTGCTTGCAAATGGCAGCCAGGGAGGAATATCGAATTCATAGCCTTATACTCTTCAATTGAATGTGCCCATTTCAGTCTGGTTGGAGTGACTTTGAATGCCATTGCTAACAAAGTTGATGATTTCTCCTAAGAAGATGTGGCTGTTGATACGAAGAGAAATGGGGTTATAAGCGTTAGGTAACGGCCTGTCCCTATGATTCTCTCTTTGCCACAGGTGAGAAGAGCAAGAGCCATCTTTCCCCTGGCTCTCTCTCCTATTGCAGAAGAAGCCAGAGAGGAGGAAAATGAGAAAGATGACCACCGCCTTTGTTCAGCCGTGGTCACACCAGAACGTCCTCATCATTCCAAGAGAGTAAGTGCCCGTTGTGGGAGGTGCCATCTTTAGTGCAAGGCAGAGGTGCAACTTTCTGAGCTGCCAGCACTTGCTGTGTCTGGCCCAGGATGCTGAGTGCTGGAGTCCTGCAGGACGTAGCCGTTTCCTGCAGGCAGTGAGAGCTAGAAATTGGCCTTTGACCTGTCCTGTTGGGCCAGTGTTAAACTCGCAGCTCCGGCGGAGCTTGTGGCTGCTTGGCTCAGGGAAGCTCCATCTCTGGGCTTCTGCGGTGTAATGGCCAAGGGCTCACGTGGTAGTGCTGGAGGTCAAAAGGCTTTCTTGCTTGCTTTTCCCTTTTTGGAAAGTTGTGTTTGGCTTGTGGAAGTGTTCTGCAGTTTTCTTGAGTCGTTCTTCACTTGTAAAATCACTGCTGGCCCAACTGCCTTTTGGCTTTTGAGAAGGTGCAAACAGCAGAAGGGCTAAGTTTCTACTGATCTGTGTAGTGATGAAGTATGCAGTTTCAGCAAGTGCATTGGAGCCCAGAGTGGGGGTGAAGCTGCAAGTCCTTGACTGCTGTCTTGTGTTGCTCAGAACAGGAAGGCCATCGTACAATGGTGCCTGCTGTATCTGAAGTGAAATGGGCACCTTTGTGGCTGGGGAGCTGCGTGGGCCAAAAGGAGCCAGGGTTGCTGCTGGCCTTGAGCCGCTGAGGATGAGGCAGCGTGTGGCCAGGTGGCCAAGAAGGCCCAGGGCATGGTGGCCTGTGTCAGCAGCAGTGGGGCAGCAGGAGCAGGGCAGTGAGCGTGGCCCTGTGCTGGGCAGCGCTGCGGCCACAGCTGCAGTGCTGGGTGCACTTGTGGGCCCCTGGGCAGCAGAAAGTCCTTGAGGGGCTGCAGCGCGTGCACAGAAGGACAGGGGAGCTGGGCAAGGGGGTGCAGCACAAGGCCAGTGAGGAGGTGTTGAGGGAGATTTAGCCTGGACAGTGGGATGCTCTTGAGGGACCTTTCGGCAAACTTCCATCATTCCCTGCATGACAGTGCTCAGCACAAGGGCTGGTTCACACCAAAAATTCATCACTCATTGCATCCAAGGGCTTTAGACACTGGAGTGGGTGACACTTCCATCTTGTGGTTTGTTGGCTCGTTGTTTTGCTCGCACGAGAAGGCCTGTTCATTTTCCTCTTTTTCCAGTAAGCAATGATGCTTCTGTACAATGTTCCCTGCTCTTTTGCAGCCCTGGATGGGATTGTGGTCCAGTTTGAGTTTTCTACGTCTGCAGCAGCAGTAGCAAAGGCGTTGCTGTCACTTTCCTAGTTTTCCATTTCAGTGCTTTCAAGCTCTAAAAGCTGCATTTGTCTGAGGTAACCTTGGCTTGCTGATGGCTTGCGGATGGCAGCCATGGAGGAAAATCAACTTCATATCCATCTAGAGTGGTGTTGAATTGTCCCATGATAATTTGGTGGCTGTGATTTAGAACCCCTCTGTCACTCTGAAATGTTATGATTTTTTCCTTAGAAGATGTTGTGGTAGATCTGAAAAGAAATGAGGTTCTACATGATAGGAAATGGCCTGTGCCTCATGCTCCTCTCTTGCCACAGATGACAGAAGCAAGAGCCGCCTCTCCCCTGGCCCCCGCTGCTCCTGGAGAAGAAGCCAAAGAGGAGCAAACTGAGGTGGATGAGCGCCAGCCTCCATCAGTGGTCAGACCACCATATTCTCAACGTGTAAGTGCCAGTTGTGTGTGGTGCTGTCTTTAGTGCAAGGCAGAGCTGCAAGGTTTGGAGCAGCCAGCACTTTGCTGTTGCTGGCTGAGGATGCTGGGTGCTGGAGTCCTGCCAGGAGCTGGGGATTTCCTCCAGGCAGAGACCGCAGAACTTGGCCTTTGAGCTGTCATGTTGAGGCAGCAAAGGGCTGGTGCCTCTGGGAGAGCATCTGGCTGCTTGGCTCAGGGAAGCTCTATCGCTTGGCTTCTGCCGTGCTATGGCCAAGGGCAAAGGAGGGAGTGCTGGAGGTGCCAGGCCTTGGTTTGGTTGTTTTCCCTCTCTGGAAAGGCGTGTTTGGCTTGTGAAAGCGGTCGGCACTTTCCATGAGTAGTTCTTCACTTGTACAGTCTCTTTTGGGCCAGCTGTCTTTTGGCTTTTGATAAGCTGCAAGGCGAGGATTGTGTGGTCCATGCAGCTGTGGGGGCCCATTCTTGTCCCGCGTGGCCAAAGAAACAAAGTGCAGAGTCGCGAAGCTTTCTTGCGAGGCCAAAAGCAGAAGCGGCCAGTTTCTGTTGATGCATAGTTTGGTGCAGTCTGCAGCTTTGGCAAGTGCCTCTGAGCCTGCAGTGGGGGTGAAGCTGCAAGTCCTTGACTGCTGTCTTGTGTTGCTCAGAACAGGAAGGCCATCGTACAATGGTGCCTGCTGTATCTGAAGTGAAATGGGCACCTTTGTGGCTGGGGAGCTGCGTGGGCCAAAAGGAGCCAGGCTTGCTGCTGGCCTTGAGCCGCTGAGGATGAGGCAGCGTGTGGCCAGGTGGCCAAGAAGGCCCAGGGCATGGTGGCCTGTGTCAGCAGCAGTGGGGCAGCAGGAGCAGGGCAGCGAGCGTGGCCCTGTGCTGGGCAGCGCTGCGGCCACAGCTGCAGTGCTGGGTGCACTTGTGGGCCCCTGGGCAGCAGAAAGACCTTGAGGGGCTGCAGCGTGTGCACAGAAGGACAGGGGAGCTGGGCAAGGCGTTGCAGCACAAGGCCAGTGAGGAGGTGTTGAGGGAGATTTAGCCTGCACAATGGGAGGCTCTTGAGGGACCTTCAGGCAAACTTCCATCATTCCCTGCATGACAGTGCTCAGCACAAGGGCTGTTTCCCTGCCAAACATGCCATCACTGCATCCAAGGGCTTTAGACACTGGAGTCGCTGACACTTCCCAACTTGTGGCTTGTGGGTTTCCTAGGAGGTGAAGGCCTGTTCATTTTCTCTTTTTCCAGCAAGCAAGGATGCTTCTGTGCAAACTTTCCTGTGCTTATAGGCACTGGGAGGGATTCTGAACCCTTTCTGGTTTTCCTTGTCTACTGCAGCAGTAGCAAAGGCCTTGCTGGCTCTTTCCTACTTTTCCATTTCCGAGCTTTCAAGAACCAAAAGCTGCCTTTTGCAGAGACAACCTTGCTTGCAAATGGCAGCCAGGGAGGAATATCGAATTCATAGCCTTATACTCTTCAATTGAATGTGCCCATTTCAGTCTGGTTGGAGTGACTTTGAATGCCATTGCTAACAAAGTTGATGATTTCTCCTAAGAAGATGTGGCTGTTGATACGAAGAGAAATGGGGTTATAAGCGTTAGGTAACGGCCTGTCCCTATGATTCTCTCTTTGCCACAGGTGAGAAGAGCAAGAGCCATCTTTCCCCTGGCTCTCTCTCCTATTGCAGAAGAAGCCAGAGAGGAGGAAAATGAGAAAGATGACCACCGCCTTTGTTCAGCCGTGGTCACACCAGAACGTCCTCATCATTCCAAGAGAGTAAGTGCCCGTTGTGGGAGGTGCCATCTTTAGTGCAAGGCAGAGGTGCAACTTTCTGAGCTGCCAGCACTTGCTGTGTCTGGCCCAGGATGCTGAGTGCTGGAGTCCTGCAGGACGTAGCCGTTTCCTGCAGGCAGTGAGAGCTAGAAATTGGCCTTTGACCTGTCCTGTTGGGCCAGTGTTAAACTCGCAGCTCCGGCGGAGCTTGTGGCTGCTTGGCTCAGGGAAGCTCCATCTCTGGGCTTCTGCGGTGTAATGGCCAAGGGCTCACGTGGTAGTGCTGGAGGTCAAAAGGCTTTCTTGCTTGCTTTTCCCTTTTTGGAAAGTTGTGTTTGGCTTGTGGAAGTGTTCTGCAGTTTTCTTGAGTCGTTCTTCACTTGTAAAATCACTGCTGGCCCAACTGCCTTTTGGCTTTTGAGAAGGTGCAAACAGCAGAAGGGCTAAGTTTCTACTGATCTGTGTAGTGATGAAGTATGCAGTTTCAGCAAGTGCATTGGAGCCCAGAGTGGGGGTGAAGCTGCAAGTCCTTGACTGCTGTCTTGTGTTGCTCAGAACAGGAAGGCCATCGTACAATGGTGCCTGCTGTATCTGAAGTGAAATGGGCACCTTTGTGGCTGGGGAGCTGCGTGGGCCAAAAGGAGCCAGGGTTGCTGCTGGCCTTGAGCCGCTGAGGATGAGGCAGCGTGTGGCCAGGTGGCCAAGAAGGCCCAGGGCATGGTGGCCTGTGTCAGCAGCAGTGGGGCAGCAGGAGCAGGGCAGTGAGCGTGGCCCTGTGCTGGGCAGCGCTGCGGCCACAGCTGCAGTGCTGGGTGCACTTGTGGGCCCCTGGGCAGCAGAAAGTCCTTGAGGGGCTGCAGCGCGTGCACAGAAGGACAGGGGAGCTGGGCAAGGGGGTGCAGCACAAGGCCAGTGAGGAGGTGTTGAGGGAGATTTAGCCTGGACAGTGGGATGCTCTTGAGGGACCTTTCGGCAAACTTCCATCATTCCCTGCATGACAGTGCTCAGCACAAGGGCTGGTTCACACCAAAAATTCATCACTCATTGCATCCAAGGGCTTTAGACACTGGAGTGGGTGACACTTCCATCTTGTGGTTTGTTGGCTCGTTGTTTTGCTCGCACGAGAAGGCCTGTTCATTTTCCTCTTTTTCCAGTAAGCAATGATGCTTCTGTACAATGTTCCCTGCTCTTTTGCAGCCCTGGATGGGATTGTGGTCCAGTTTGAGTTTTCTACGTCTGCAGCAGCAGTAGCAAAGGCGTTGCTGTCACTTTCCTAGTTTTCCATTTCAGTGCTTTCAAGCTCTAAAAGCTGCATTTGTCTGAGGTAACCTTGGCTTGCTGATGGCTTGCGGATGGCAGCCATGGAGGAAAATCAACTTCATATCCATCTAGAGTGGTGTTGAATTGTCCCATGATAATTTGGTGGCTGTGATTTAGAACCCCTCTGTCACTCTGAAATGTTATGATTTTTTCCTTAGAAGATGTTGTGGTAGATCTGAAAAGAAATGAGGTTCTACATGATAGGAAATGGCCTGTGCCTCATGCTCCTCTCTTGCCACAGATGACAGAAGCAAGAGCCGCCTCTCCCCTGGCCCCCGCTGCTCCTGGAGAAGAAGCCAAAGAGGAGCAAACTGAGGTGGATGAGCGCCAGCCTCCATCAGTGGTCAGACCACCATATTCTCAACCTGTAAGTGCCAGTTGTGTGTGGTGCTGTCTTTAGTGCAAGGCAGAGCTGCAAGGTTTGGAGCAGCCAGCACTTTGCTGTTGCTGGCTGAGGATGCTGGGTGCTGGAGTCCTGCCAGGAGCTGGGGATTTCCTCCAGGCAGAGACCGCAGAACTTGGCCTTTGAGCTGTCATGTTGAGGCAGCAAAGGGCTGGTGCCTCTGGGAGAGCATCTGGCTGCTTGGCTCAGGGAAGCTCTATCGCTTGGCTTCTGCCGTGCTATGGCCAAGGGCAAAGGAGGGAGTGCTGGAGGTGCCAGGCCTTGGTTTGGTTGTTTTCCCTCTCTGGAAAGGCGTGTTTGGCTTGTGAAAGCGGTCGGCACTTTCCATGAGTAGTTCTTCACTTGTACAGTCTCTTTTGGGCCAGCTGTCTTTTGGCTTTTGATAAGCTGCAAGGGGAGGATTGTGTGGTCCATGCAGCTGTGGGGGCCCATTCTTGTCCCGCGTGGCCAAAGAAACAAAGTGCGGAGTCGCGAAGCTTTCTTGCGAGGCCAAAAGCAGAAGCGGCCAGTTTCTGTTGATGCATAGTTTGGTGCAGTCTGCAGCTTTGGCAAGTGCCTCTGAGCCTGCAGTGGGGGTGAAGCTGCAAGTCCTTGACTGCTGTCTTGTGTTGCTCAGAACAGGAAGGCCATCGTACAATGGTGCCTGCTGTATCTGAAGTGAAATGGGCACCTTTGTGGCTGGGGAGCTGCGTGGGCCAAAAGGAGCCAGGGTTGCTGCTGGCCTTGAGCCGCTGAGGATGAGGCAGCGTGTGGCCAGGTGGCCAAGAAGGCCCAGGGCATGGTGGCCTGTGTCAGCAGCAGTGGGGCAGCAGGAGCAGGGCAGCGAGCGTGGCCCTGTGCTGGGCAGCGCTGCGGCCACAGCTGCAGTGCTGGGTGCACTTGTGGGCCCCTGGGCAGCAGAAAGACCTTGAGGGGCTGCAGCGTGTGCACAGAAGGACAGGGGAGCTGGGCAAGGCGTTGCAGCACAAGGCCAGTGAGGAGGTGTTGAGGGAGATTTAGCCTGCACAATGGGAGGCTCTTGAGGGACCTCCAGGCAGACTTCCATCGATCCCTGCATGACAGTGCTCAGCACAAGGGCTGTTTCCCTGCCAAACATGCCATCACTGCATCCAAGGGCTTTAGACACTGGAGTCGCTGACACTTCCCAACTTGTGGCTTGTGGGTTTCCTAGGAGGTGAAGGCCTGTTCATTTTCTCTTTTTCCAGCAAGCAAGGATGCTTCTGTGCAAACTTTCCTGTGCTTATAGGCACTGGGAGGGATTCTGAACCCTTTCTGGTTTTCCTTGTCTACTGCAGCAGTAGCAAAGGCCTTGCTGGCTCTTTCCTACTTTTCCATTTCCGAGCTTTCAAGAACCAAAAGCTGCCTTTTGCAGAGACAACCTTGCTTGCAAATGGCAGCCAGGGAGGAATATCGAATTCATAGCCTTATACTCTTCAATTGAATGTGCCCATTTCAGTCTGGTTGGAGTGACTTTGAATGCCATTGCTAACAAAGTTGATGATTTCTCCTAAGAAGATGTGGCTGTTGATACGAAGAGAAATGGGGTTATAAGCGTTAGGTAACGGCCTGTCCCTATGATTCTCTCTTTGCCACAGGTGAGAAGAGCAAGAGCCATCTTTCCCCTGGCTCTCTCTCCTATTGCAGAAGAAGCCAGAGAGGAGGAAAATGAGAAAGATGACCACCGCCTTTGTTCAGCCGTGGTCACACCAGAACGTCCTCATCATTCCAAGAGAGTAAGTGCCCGTTGTGGGAGGTGCCATCTTTAGTGCAAGGCAGAGGTGCAACTTTCTGAGCTGCCAGCACTTGCTGTGTCTGGCCCAGGATGCTGAGTGCTGGAGTCCTGCAGGACGTAGCCGTTTCCTGCAGGCAGTGAGAGCTAGAAATTGGCCTTTGACCTGTCCTGTTGGGCCAGTGTTAAACTCGCAGCTCCGGCGGAGCTTGTGGCTGCTTGGCTCAGGGAAGCTCCATCTCTGGGCTTCTGCGGTGTAATGGCCAAGGGCTCACGTGGTAGTGCTGGAGGTCAAAAGGCTTTCTTGCTTGCTTTTCCCTTTTTGGAAAGTTGTGTTTGGCTTGTGGAAGTGTTCTGCAGTTTTCTTGAGTCGTTCTTCACTTGTAAAATCACTGCTGGCCCAACTGCCTTTTGGCTTTTGAGAAGGTGCAAACAGCAGAAGGGCTAAGTTTCTACTGATCTGTGTAGTGATGAAGTATGCAGTTTCAGCAAGTGCATTGGAGCCCAGAGTGGGGGTGAAGCTGCAAGTCCTTGACTGCTGTCTTGTGTTGCTCAGAACAGGAAGGCCATCGTACAATGGTGCCTGCTGTATCTGAAGTGAAATGGGCACCTTTGTGGCTGGGGAGCTGCGTGGGCCAAAAGGAGCCAGGGTTGCTGCTGGCCTTGAGCCGCTGAGGATGAGGCAGCGTGTGGCCAGGTGGCCAAGAAGGCCCAGGGCATGGTGGCCTGTGTCAGCAGCAGTGGGGCAGCAGGAGCAGGGCAGTGAGCGTGGCCCTGTGCTGGGCAGCGCTGCGGCCACAGCTGCAGTGCTGGGTGCACTTGTGGGCCCCTGGGCAGCAGAAAGTCCTTGAGGGGCTGCAGCGCGTGCACAGAAGGACAGGGGAGCTGGGCAAGGGGGTGCAGAACAAGGCCAGTGAGGAGGTGTTGAGGGAGATTTAGCCTGGACAGTGGGATGCTCTTGAGGGACCTTTCGGCAAACTTCCATCATTCCCTGCATGACAGTGCTCAGCACAAGGGCTGGTTCACACCAAAAATTCATCACTCATTGCATCCAAGGGCTTTAGACACTGGAGTGGGTGACACTTCCATCTTGTGGTTTGTTGGCTCGTTGTTTTGCTCGCACGAGAAGGCCTGTTCATTTTCCTCTTTTTCCAGTAAGCAATGATGCTTCTGTACAATGTTCCCTGCTCTTTTGCAGCCCTGGATGGGATTGTGGTCCAGTTTGAGTTTTCTACGTCTGCAGCAGCAGTAGCAAAGGCGTTGCTGTCACTTTCCTAGTTTTCCATTTCAGTGCTTTCAAGCTCTAAAAGCTGCATTTGTCTGAGGTAACCTTGGCTTGCTGATGGCTTGCGGATGGCAGCCATGGAGGAAAATCAACTTCATATCCATCTAGAGTGGTGTTGAATTGTCCCATGATAATTTGGTGGCTGTGATTTAGAACCCCTCTGTCACTCTGAAATGTTATGATTTTTTCCTTAGAAGATGTTGTGGTAGATCTGAAAAGAAATGAGGTTCTACATGATAGGAAATGGCCTGTGCCTCATGCTCCTCTCTTGCCACAGATGACAGAAGCAAGAGCCGCCTCTCCCCTGGCCCCCGCTGCTCCTGGAGAAGAAGCCAAAGAGGAGCAAACTGAGGTGGATGAGCGCCAGCCTCCATCAGTGGTCAGACCACCATATTCTCAACCTGTAAGTGCCAGTTGTGTGTGGTGCTGTCTTTAGTGCAAGGCAGAGCTGCAAGGTTTGGAGCAGCCAGCACTTTGCTGTTGCTGGCTGAGGATGCTGGGTGCTGGAGTCCTGCCAGGAGCTGGGGATTTCCTCCAGGCAGAGACCGCAGAACTTGGCCTTTGAGCTGTCATGTTGAGGCAGCAAAGGGCTGGTGCCTCTGGGAGAGCATCTGGCTGCTTGGCTCAGGGAAGCTCTATCGCTTGGCTTCTGCCGTGCTATGGCCAAGGGCAAAGGAGGGAGTGCTGGAGGTGCCAGGCCTTGGTTTGGTTGTTTTCCCTCTCTGGAAAGGCGTGTTTGGCTTGTGAAAGCGGTCGGCACTTTCCATGAGTAGTTCTTCACTTGTACAGTCTCTTTTGGGCCAGCTGTCTTTTGGCTTTTGATAAGCTGCAAGGGGAGGATTGTGTGGTCCATGCAGCTGTGGGGGCCCATTCTTGTCCCGCGTGGCCAAAGAAACAAAGTGCGGAGTCGCGAAGCTTTCTTGCGAGGCCAAAAGCAGAAGCGGCCAGTTTCTGTTGATGCATAGTTTGGTGCAGTCTGCAGCTTTGGCAAGTGCCTCTGAGCCTGCAGTGGGGGTGAAGCTGCAAGTCCTTGACTGCTGTCTTGTGTTGCTCAGAACAGGAAGGCCATCGTACAATGGTGCCTGCTGTATCTGAAGTGAAATGGGCACCTTTGTGGCTGGGGAGCTGCGTGGGCCAAAAGGAGCCAGGGTTGCTGCTGGCCTTGAGCCGCTGAGGATGAGGCAGCGTGTGGCCAGGTGGCCAAGAAGGCCCAGGGCATGGTGGCCTGTGTCAGCAGCAGTGGGGCAGCAGGAGCAGGGCAGCGAGCGTGGCCCTGTGCTGGGCAGCGCTGCGGCCACAGCTGCAGTGCTGGGTGCACTTGTGGGCCCCTGGGCAGCAGAAAGACCTTGAGGGGCTGCAGCGTGTGCACAGAAGGACAGGGGAGCTGGGCAAGGCGTTGCAGCACAAGGCCAGTGAGGAGGTGTTGAGGGAGATTTAGCCTGCACAATGGGAGGCTCTTGAGGGACCTCCAGGCAGACTTCCATCGATCCCTGCATGACAGTGCTCAGCACAAGGGCTGTTTCCCTGCCAAACATGCCATCACTGCATCCAAGGGCTTTAGACACTGGAGTCGCTGACACTTCCCAACTTGTGGCTTGTGGGTTTCCTAGGAGGTGAAGGCCTGTTCATTTTCTCTTTTTCCAGCAAGCAAGGATGCTTCTGTGCAAACTTTCCTGTGCTTATAGGCACTGGGAGGGATTCTGAACCCTTTCTGGTTTTCCTTGTCTACTGCAGCAGTAGCAAAGGCCTTGCTGGCTCTTTCCTACTTTTCCATTTCCGAGCTTTCAAGAACCAAAAGCTGCCTTTTGCAGAGACAACCTTGCTTGCAAATGGCAGCCAGGGAGGAATATCGAATTCATAGCCTTATACTCTTCAATTGAATGTGCCCATTTCAGTCTGGTTGGAGTGACTTTGAATGCCATTGCTAACAAAGTTGATGATTTCTCCTAA